GGCATGAAAGCCGGCAACTTGATCGGCCTGCTAGAGGGTCTCGCTGCTTGCCTCAGCACCATGGGCCATGAATCCAAAGCTCACGCAGACCGCCTCATCTCCGACGCGAGCCGGGACTTGTGCACTAGCAAGATCTTCGATCAAGAGTACTGGGCCCCTGACGGTACACCGCGATACGCCGGTGCTCTGTCCCAGGATCACCATGGCGCATCCCTAGAAGCTATCGCAGACCTCCACCCTATCATCATCAAATGGGAGCGAGTCGTCACCGACGAGGCCAAAAAGTGGAATCTGAATCTTGATCTAGTCATTTTTGAGGATGCATCTACTCAGCAGTTGGAGGCTGCCGGCAAGGCAACGGCTGCTGGCAATACTCCCAAGCAAGCCATCGACTGGTGAGCTTTGATGAGCTCAAGCTGAGACTTCACCACAGAACCCTCAGCGCCCCCTAACCGCTGGCCCATTCCTTTGCTATATCACAGCCCCTGGACCGCCTATCGATGAGACACTGTTGAGATCTTAATCGCCCAAAAATCGGATCGCGGGTTGTTTAACCGCACGTGCCGCCGAACGCTGGCGGCATCCGATACTATATCTTCTTAGCTTACAAACCACCGACATGGCACGCAATTGGTCTTCACTGTATCCCAGAGGCGAACGGGTCACATATTTTGACGACCTCTATTGTTTCAGTCCTACTCATGCACGTCTGAGGGCACCTCGAACATGACCTTTTGCATGGCCTGACCTGAGTTCATGGATTCGAATCAGCTCAAGGACTGTGCCTCTTGCAACCCAACCGACGAAGGCAGTGTATCATAGCAGTAGACAGGTGAGGCAGAACGTTGTATGTGGAAATGACACTCCAATGCTCAACTTTTTATATTTTGACCCAGAGGGGCCGATCTCCATGATACGATGTCGTATTTCGCCCCCGCGGTGATAATTCGGACCCCTGAAGGCCCCTGACCCCTCAGTATCAAGCAGAAACAATTGTGCAACCTCTCGTGGCATTTCAACGTGCATTTACGAACTGGGTGCTCATTTGACCGAGAAGTTGGCTACAGCTTATGCGGGTGCCTCCCAGCCGTCCACTCCAATGTCGTCCGTTGTATGTAACGTCAATAACCCAGGAGTCCAAACAGCCCCCATCTAGGATATTGTGAGAAAGGGAGCAAGACGGAGACTCTGCAAGATAAAGCATGCACCTCCCGGTATTTGTGGTCAGTTATGGGCACTCGCAATCGGAATTTCGTCGATGATATTCAGAGTCGACTGTCATTGTCCACATTCGTCTCTATTCTGGGCGTTCTTGTCAACTCGCTCTCGTTGTCTTTCAGCGCGTATCCTCTCGTGTCGATAATACTGTGTCATCCAGTCCTCGGTTCCAACATTGTTTTGAGAAGATGAAGATTCTCTCAGTGACCCTGTTGACCTGGGCTGTGGTAGCTACCTTCGGAGCTGTCGCCGAAAATCCATTTCGATACGTCCAAGGCAACGAGATACCGCGTATGAATGGCAAGGAATCAAGCAATGAGGATGGCGGCTTGTCCGACGATGGAAAGGGAGACCACAGCGATAGTGATGGAAAGGAGGACCACACGTCGCACCACGATTCTGGAGACAAAACATTTCCAGCTACCATGACTGTCTCTCCCTGTCTGGGCCCCGAGCCAGACTGTCCCGGCCCAGGTTTCCCTACTACAGTGATCACATCCTTGCCTGTGGGCAGCACGCCACTCGAGTCTGTGTCTTCAGGCTCCCCTGGAACGACGACTCCTGGAGAAACCCCATTTCCTCTGCCGACATTCACAATGTCGTTCTTTTCGCCCTTGCCTCCCCCCTCAGGCACCCTGGGATCCAACACGTCAGCAAACGCAGGGACGCTCGTGTCAAGTTCCTCAATGTCTGGGCAAAGTGCGTCACAACTTGCGTGTACCGGTTGCACTTCCGCCGTTCGCCAGATTGAAACCCAGTCTATAGATGGAAGTCATGCAAGTACTATAACATCAGCTTCGACCTCTGGCACAGTGGTTTCGACTGCGACGCCGTCGTCCGTGCCGTCCATCATCACCAACGACGCTACACAACTCCGACAAGCACGATTCGGTTTCCCTTTGGTCCTCGCGGTCCCTGCCGTCACATATGTGCTATGGAAAACTGGCTGTTGAGGCCTGTGCGGAGGCCTCGCCCCTTATTGTTCTCTCTCGCCCTGTTGGGTTATTGTTATCCTTGTGTGATGCAAATTACAAAAGGCAACCATCTATGATATCGCTTCCATGGGCATAACGCCGTGTCCTAGCTGTGCCTGTATTCTGCCAGCAAAGATCGTCTCGAGGTGTTTGGGGGCATGATATATATACCTAGGTAGACATACTAAGGCAGTCCGATGATACATCTGATCTATCCGGTCGTGATGCGCAGCCAGCGGGCAAACTTGAGAGAACTAGTTACGAAAATTACCTATCATAACGCCCACCGCAAGGACCAACCAGCAAGAAATGAGCCTGCATGTGTTCATGGTGAACGTGAGAGTGACTTAATGCTCAATAATCAATGGACTCCTGACGTATAATACAAATCTCGCTATGATACCAAATAGTTACAGGGAAATAAAGACTGCGCAAAAATGCCGAATGATGACCAACGCATGCTAAAAACCGCACGTTGCACCACCGAGCTCATTCAGCTTTGCTTGGTCGGCGCCGAGGAGAGTATTCGCGATCTGGTGGACATATTTCTTGTCTCCCGTACCAAATATTCGAAGATCCGAGATGTTCACGGACTGTTCTCCGCTGTTGTAGCACCTGAGGGTAGCCCCGGGGGAGGAGTATTTCTGCTCTGGAAGACGGGCGTTGTCAGCATACCGGCAGAGAGGATGGGCCGGTACGATGGGTACTCACTGCATGCTTGAATGTTGGACCCCTGGGCGCCGCACCCGGTGATGCCGCATTGGACCATATACTCAATGTGCTTCTCGGCACACGGATGGCTCTTGCCGGCACACTCGTTACTGGAACCCTTGACCTGAAACAGGCCGCAACTTATGCCCCCGTCGCCACATACGCGGCAGGTGTTGCCCTGTGACTCCCTACGCATCGTGTCGCGTTAGCAGCTAACGCGTAAAACGACATAACCGCCTATGGGGATATGGATGTATATGTATGCATATGTGTATGTGTGTGTGTATACTAACTGGATCATCATAGCAGTCGCCAGCGCCGGGTTGACGCCGGCATTTTGACTCTGAGTCTTGATGGCATTCTCCATTTGCGTGATCTCCGTGTCGGTGTCGCCTTGGGCCTTGAACGAGGGCTTCCACTTGTTGAACAGCTCTTCGAAAGACAGCCAGTCGTTTTCGTCCGGGAAATCTGAGCCGTACCAACACTTTGGCTGGACCTTTCGGGATTCGACGGCCAAGGCGCTGACGCCTAGCGCTCCTATCAGCAGTGGTAACACAGGGTATTGGCCACGCATGATGTGACTCCTGGGTCTGGTCGTTTATTTTGTGTGTTCGTGTGAGGGTACCGTTCCTAGGGGTAGCGCCGACTGGTTTCTGGTGAGGTGCTGATAGACTCTTGTGCTCCAGCCCTACCAGAGCAAGCTTTGCCGGGGCCACAGCTTGTTTTATATCGTGATCTTGCCACGGAGCCGGTCTGGCCAGCAGCACGAGAATGACATGGCCCGGCGTTTGGCAGCGTCCGCCGTGTGCCTGGCTGACCCACCTCAGGATCCTACGGCGATCTTGGGGATCCTGCGCGCTGCCAGTGTCGGCTTGAAGACGGGCTTCACCACATAGGTAGTAATAATGACTCGGTAGACCGTTAGCCTAACATGATGCGAAGACACCTACATATGAAGCCTAAATCCTACACTAACACACGGCAAAGCCATCTGACAGGATCAGCTAGCATGACGTCGATGTGCGGGACAGGGGTCCAGGGGTCTGAGGCGTGACGCGCGAAGGAGTCAGCCTCAGACGGTGCTCCTTTGTTGGGCATGGCATCAGCCCCAGCCAGCTCCCGAGAGGAACGGGATACGTTTCCTCAGGACTGCCGCCCACGGCAACGCGGACGCACGGGGGAGAAAATAGACATGCGGTACCCGCAAAATGCACAACCAAGTGAGATGACGAAAGCCGTGTCGTTTAGTATTCATACGCCAGATCCTCCGGGATGCGGTGGAGCCGAGGACAACCGTGGTGACTGGCTGGAGACAGCAGGAAGATACACGCGTACCTTAATGCTATGCTATTGCGAGTTGATCTGTCGAATCCCCAGAGTGGTTGTGGTTGTGGTTGCGGTTGGGGACTCATCTATTAGGTATGAGAAAGACACGCATCATAAACGGAGGTGTACTTCTAAGTTAGAAGAAAACTAATCACCTGATCTATCTCATGACCAGGTGTATGATCCGATCGTATGGGTCTCAATAAATGCGTAGATGACTTCCATTCCACGACAGGACGCACCGAGTTTGGGTACAGTTTGGCTGCTATGACACACATCTATCGTCAACGGTGAGAGCTGAGGAGTACGAGCCCACGATGCGAAGCTCACCTGTGACCTTATTACGAAGTAGCGGCTTCCAAAATTATCTCGGGCGGGGCGGGATGGGCCGAGAGGAAGAGTCTAACTAGGTTAGGTAAATCACGGTCTCAGCTAAAGTCTACCTAGGTAATAGGTAGGTAAGGTAAGTATCTAGGTAAATACCTAACCATCTACATATCCATAGATGTACCAGCAGAAGGCACATACCTAGGTACCTTAAGTATATATCAATGATACCTAGGTAGTTACCTACCTAGGTACCTGGAGTAGATCCAGTCAAGAATATTCGAGGCAGGTGTATTGGCATTCATTACCATTAAGTATTCAATTTCAATATTCTGTACTCCGGACCCTACCAACCCAAGCGTGTGGGCTAAGGCGGACCCCACCAGCTCCAGAAGCAAGCCGGCAGAGAGAATAAGATGCCCATGAAGAATGATTCTCTTCATCGGCGCAGTGGCAGAGTGGTCTAATGCGCAAGACTAGAACATCTGGATCTTCCCCGATAATTCCTGAGATTATCCTAGATATTTGATATCTTGTTCCTTCGGGAGCGTCTGTTCGAATCAGGCCTGCGTCGTACTTAAGAGCTAATCAGCAACCATGTGATGGCAATAATATTTTCCACCACATGTGTTTTTATTTCTGTCTCTGCTGTCTCTTTTGTCTGTTCCCTTTTTTGCCCTGCCCCCCCACTTTCAACGCTCCATGAGCGAAAGGTGGAAAATCACCACCGTCTATTTTGCTGGCCATTCCTCACATTGACCTATCTATCATATCACATCAGTCATTTGAGGGGGTATCAAGAAGATGTCTCCTTCGCAAAACGTCCTACGAAGTGCTTAGTGGACAATACCCGGACACCTACCTACGACGCGAAAGATTATACGAGTATCCCTGGAAACACACCCCTTCCAGTTCGTACAGGCACGCGGCTTTGGTCTTGAGTGAGGAAGCGTCCTATTACAGACTCGATTGGTCGTTGCCTGTACATGAAGAGGGTGGTGATTACGATAATCCCTAGAACAGCGGCTCCTCCCTGGAGCTCAGCCTTCTTTTCGCCCGTGAACAGGCCGGATACCGTGTCCGAGATCTTGGTCGTGGTAATATAATATGGTGTGCGACGCCGGCGCCTGGAAACGATACTATTTGAGCACTGCGGCCGCTGCAAGGTGATCAAGTAACTGGAGTTTGTACAGAGCTCAAGCATACTCTGGAATTGCTCCATGATAACCTTTACGGGCAAGTGCTGCTGCCGGATCTGCTCCGTCACGGTTTCGGTTTTGCAGTACGAGGCCATCATGGCTCACACTCATATCACTCACAGGTGATCTCGGAGGGTAGATACATCGATAAGACAGCGCCAACATTACACGTCTCGAGAAGTGCGTCTTCGAGCGCGTGATTCACGCCGCCGATGAATAGCCTCGCTGGTCCGGGCAGGATATCCAGACAACCTGGTATCGAGTATAATATCGGACTCAAGTGCGTACCTAGGTATTATGTCCTCGACATCCCACCCCTGAAATAATATCGATGAATGGGATCATAGGTACCTACTTCACACAAACATACCTACATAAGTAGGTATGTACTTAAGTAGGTACCTTTAAATTGGATGTTCGCATTGCATTCTGTTAGGTGGTGGCTGGCTCACGCAAAATTGAAGATACCTAAGTACGTACATATATATATACGTACCTAGGTAGATTTATCGATAATACAAGGGGTTCATCTCATCTCATCTGGCCTCGGCCGACCTTTATCCACAAACATCCATAGGCATGCGATAATGACCAATGGTCAACAGTCACACACAACCTGGCATTACATGTAAATATAAATGAATAATACCTCGGTATTTACTTCAACCTGTCAAGGGGAATAAAACCGCCCTTCTCACCCTTGACTCGCTACCCTTCCAGGTTACTCGCTACTTTCTACAATGCCTCGGCGAGCCCCGAGATCCCACCCCGAGCCCGAGTGATAAAAAGGTTAGGGCTGGCTGACCTTCGGTTCACAAGTTTAATAAGACTCTGGCTAGACGAGTCGACGGCGACACCCCCATAACTCCAAACGACGGTTGTCCCCGTTCCAACTATCTTAACCTAGCAGCCTCGGTAGGCAAAGGTAGCAGTCAGGAGCCGGCCGCCCCCAGTCCTCCCACCCCCTAGGTACTCTCTTCCAGGTTGCTTTTCGGGCCTATGATTTTTCGAAGTAGCTAGCCTGATCGCCGCATGGGGTGTCTGGCTGTCTTTAACCAAGACCGGATCGATTTGCTGGGGTCGTATCTCTGGCCGCCACCAGCTCGCTGCCCGAGAAGGCAATCCAGCCGCACCGTAGCTGCATAGTCGCGTCCGGAGCTGATAAGGGTGGGCGATGTGGATGCATTATCCCATCCCATTTGTTGCTGAATGCTTTCTCTGCTCTTTTCTCTGCTCTTTTCTCTGCTCTTGAGTCTTGATAGACCGGCCTCCATTCCTTGAGCCTTCAGCCCATGCAAGTCAACATCATCTGACAAGTCCGAACCCTCGTCGCCAGTTTATAATCTAGGGCACCCCCTAATAAACTGCTCAGCTGCTTTTACTCCCCCTTCCGCTCGGCTTCCTCGCGCCTTGGACCCCTTAAACCCTTTGCACCTTTGCGCCACTTGCTAGTGATACTGTAGCGTATATTATTTCTTCTTGCGTTCATTTTTTCTTCATACCGACACAACCCGCCTTCGGACCTTGTCGTCGTCCGCCGGGCCCCTCGCGCGTGTGTCCGTGTACGTGCCTGCGAGTGTGAACAACCTTTCTACTGGCGAATTTCGATACGACCTGTCAGGAAAACGCCGGCTTCACCTATCTTCCAAAGAGCCTCTCCGTGTGCACACCTCCCTTATTTTCTTAGGAGAAAATATAATTATCGGTTTTTATTCTTTTAGTATTTTAGACCGGCGAATTCGCGCGGGCCCTATTAGGCGACAGAAGATCCGCCAGCAAATATGGGCTGGGTTCATAAAGGCAATGCCTGGGTTGCGAGGAGCTTCGCCGGGCGCTATTTCAAGCTCGAAGGCTCTGGACATGTATGATCGATCGCATCCCCCGACATAATCAATCATGATCGCTGACGAGCTTGTTCGCAATAGCCCAGGGAACGCCAAGGCTCTTACTTTTTTACCGAGATTCGCGCTGGGCTCGCAGCGTTTTTTGCCATGGCATATATCATAGCCGTCAACGCCAGCATCGTTAGTGATACTGGAGGTGAGTCGTGCCAGGAGGCTTAATATGAGCGCCGCATCGAGGCTGACAGTCGAAAGGCCCCTGTATATGCAACGGCGGTCCCGATGACCCCATCTGCGACGTCAACGATGAGTATCTTTTGTGTGTAGCCGAGGTCAAGAGAGATCTCGTGACCGCAACCGCCGCCATATCCGCCTTGTCGTCGTTCTGCATGGGCTTGTTTGCCAACTTGTGAGCACCCCTATCTCGCTTCCTGACCCTCGTGATTTCACCTTTTGCCGTGACGTCAAGTCCGAACATTACCCAGTCTAACACGGTATGCAGGCCTGTTTCTCTGGCCCCTGGGATGGGCCTGAACGCCTACTTTGCGTACACTGTTGTTGGATACCACGGTACTGGAACCGTCCCGTATGCTGTCGCCCTTACTGCCATCTTCGTCGAGGGCTGGATATTCTTTGCCCTCGCCCTCTTCGGCATGCGGCAATGGCTAGCTCGTGCAATCCCTCATTCTATCAAACTAGCCACGTCGGTCGGCATCGGTCTCTTCCTGACTATTATTGGCTTTACGTACAGGTATGCGAGATAACGTTACGCCGTGCGAGACCTTCAGCATATGCTTCTCGAGACGCGCTGCATTCTTTGCTTCCCCTTTTTATCCCCGTCATCAACACGGTGCCACCCTCAAGATGGCTCCAAGAGCGATAGGCCGAGATTAGACATAGAATGCTGACAGTGTATAGTGAGGGTATCGGGCTTTTGCAAGGCGCCACCTCTACCCCCCTTGTCCTTGCCGGCTGCCCGGAGGACGGAATGGACCCGGAGACTGGGCTATGCTTGGAGAGTACGAAGATGCGAAATCCCACCATGTGGATTGGCATATTCTGCGGTGGTGTTCTAACGGTGATGCTGATGATGTACCGCGTTAAAGGCGCCATCATCGCCGGTATCCTCCTTGTTAGCATCATCTCGTGGCCGCGCACGACTTCCGTCACCTATTTCCCGTATACCGCCGTCGGAAATGACTCGTTCGACTTTTTCAAACAGGTCGTCGATTTCCACAAGATCTCCAAGACCTTGACGGTGCAGCAATGGGACATTTCCCAATATGGAGGCGAATTCGGCCTGGCTTTGATTACGTTCCTATATGTGGATATCCTCGACACTACTGGTACTCTATGGTGCGTATAGAGTACCCCTTTCCCCGGCCTTGGCTCCCGTCAGCCTTGTAACAATCTCTTATCATCATATGCTAATCTGCTTTGTAGTACGTAAAGTTGCCTCGGAGCGCTCGCCGAAGCCTCCAGCCCCCGTCTCCTTATCACGCGCCGGTGTTATCTATGACTGGGGGCAATCCTTCATGTGCTTTAGATTGCTAACGGTCAACAGACTCGATGGCCCGTTTCGCGAAAGTGATGGATCCCGTGACTGAGGACTTCGAAGGCTCAACACTCGCCTACATGGTTGACGCCATCAGCATATCGATCGGGTCTCTACTCGGCTGCCCGCCGGTGACTGCCTTCGTCGAGTCCGGCGCGGGTATATCTGAAGGTGGTAGGACCGGCCTCACCTCGATGACGACGGGAATCTGCTTCTTCATCTCCATTTTCTTCGCCCCCATCTTCGCGTCCATCCCGCCCTGGGCGACCGGTTGCGTGCTCGTGCTCGTGGGCTCGATGATGATGCCGGCCGTCACGGAGATCAACTGGAAGTATGTGGGCGATGCCGTGCCGGCGTTCCTCACCATCTGCCTGATGCCCTTCACCTACAGCATCGCAGACGGTCTCATCGGCGGCATCTGTCTGTATATCACCATCAACACTCTGGCTTGGTTGATTGAGAAAGCGTCCGGGGGCCGAATAGTACCCGCGAACAAGGCCGAAAAAGACCCGTGGACCTGGCGGATGACCGGGGGAATATTACCACCCGTAAGCAACACCCGATACTGACTTTTCATTACACCCGTCCTTTTCCTCCGCTTTCCCCACAGAGGCATGTTGTCTATGCGAGTGCTGCCTCAGTGATGCCTCATCTTCCCCCCCTCCACCCAAAAGACATCGGCTGTCGAACTCGACTTTAGCCCCGCTACTTTCCTCGTGCTACTTACTGACCGGCATCTCGCAGTGGATGATGCGCCTGACCAGAGGCAAGAAAGATTTCTGGCGGCCGGATCCGGTGCCTGTCACGGAATCGGGCCCGGATGGAGCTGGCGTGGCGACGAAGGCGAATTCAGAAGACTCAGCCGCAAAGGGCGAGCCCGCTGTGGCCCCCGAACAGGTCCAGGAAAAGAGGGATTGAGGATGGCTTGAAGAGCATCTAACCAAGCCCGGCTGTTACCTTCGCATGCCGGCGTCACCGG